CCGAGCCAGCCCACGACGGATTTGGCAGCAACGGCATGCCAATCACTTGTGGGGCCAGCGCGGCGGTGAGTTCTTCCTCGGTTGCCGGGACAGTCTCGGCTTCGGAGACCTCGTCACCGGCGGGTGGCCCCGCTGGAAGACCGAACCAAGCATTGTACGCAATCTCATCGACCTCGTCCCAGCCGTGGAACTCGTCGAAGAGGGTCACTGCGTAGTCTTCCAGGGCCACAGTTGCTTCAGCATAGCGGGCCATCACGTAAAACGTGGAGGAGCCCGCAGCGGGAGCCGCTTCTGGATTGACGTAAAACTCGTAGTCAATGTAATCTATGTCATCCATAAAAGAATTTTGAGCCAAGTGTACGGATCCCTTTCCTTTCCCCTTCGGGCATTGATCGCGCAAATGCTCTGTGCAACCGCATGTATGACACTTCATAGTATTACCAGAAGCGTCCCTAGGGTTGCCCCTCCGCCCCTTTCCCTTACCGGAGGTCCGCCTGCGACCCCGACCTTTGCCTCCGATAAGAACTTCTTCAAAAGCCATATCAGTTAAGGACGTGAGGAAAGCAGTAATACCCCTACCATGCATACGGCGTCTGCGACCCCCTTTACCACGACCCTTTCCAAATTGTTTGAAATGTCGGCGTACTGCACGTCTCACTTTTCTGACTGGTTTCTTCATAAAGCGCCTCCAACGGCGTTTTGATTTGCGATAAGCCATAAAGGCGGCTTCCGCCCTTTGCTGTTCAGAAAGGTGAGTGTCATCCGCTGGATAGTCATTACCAGCAGAGACTATTCCATTGTGCTCATCGTCAGATGAGGTATCTGTGTCAGTGCCAGATTCAAACGGTGAGGGTGGCTGAGACCATTGGGCGGATGACTCCGCTTGGCCCCAGAGGGTTGTGCCCGAGGGCGGGCTTGCAGTGTAGGCGGCGCCTGGCGAGTAGTTCGACCAGGCGTTTGCCTCAGCTGCCTCTGCCGATACCTGGCCGGTCTGCCCTAGAAGGGCAGTGGCCTCGTTGGGCATATCGGCTGGGTCAGCCCAGGGATTTGGCTCGCCAGGACCAGCGGGTGACCCCGCAGTCGTGGCGTAGACACCTGCATGTGAGTGGTGCCCTGTGAAGATACCCGCTATGTTGCCAGGAGAGCGCTCGGCAACATGTCCGTAGTTCCTCATCCTGGTCAGCAGCCTGTCATAGTCTGCTTGTGTTCGGGGCATCTGATGATTGAAGGGCTCAAGCAGGTGTTGGGCTCGTGACGCGCCAACGCCTAACGCTCTGAAGAGAATCAGCGTTAGGATCTGAAAGTTGGGGATGACAAAGCCAACAGAGTTAGCCTCGTCACGGGCCATCTCGAATCGAGCTAATACTGAGTCGATTCGCTCGCCCCTTTCGACGCGGAAGTCGATAAGGGCCGTGCCAGAGTTGAGCTGGCGCTCATCTTCCAGATTTTCAAATTTGGTGCTCAGTAAGTACAGTATGTAGGTTACTGCATCCGTTGGCTGTCCATTGACAGTTACACCATAATTGATGATCTGGGAGGGGACCTGCATGGCGATACGACGAGCCAGACCTTGAAGGCCTCGTTGTAGTGCTGCAGCTTGTTGTGGTGGTGTCATATTGCCACTCGTTACGTTTAACCATGCATGTACTTCGCGAACGTATTCGCGGAAAGGCGTAGTACCGGCAGGGTCCCATGAAGGGCCAGTAGTACGCGTGTCGTCCATCCCCTGCCGCATGTATCCCACAGCACATCCCATTATCACCCATAGAATGCCGAAGATAGTTATCTTGATCCAATGCATATGCATTTCGGCTTCGGTGATTGGTTTAGGCTGTGGTTTGTCAGGCTCTGGCGTGGTAGCCGTGAGGCGCCTGACCGGCACGGGATGCAGGTGGCCCCGCTGCGGGTAGCCCCGCAGGGTGACCACGTTCTCGATCGAGTTGCCGATTGGCATCTGGTGGAAGTCGGGAGTGAAGTAGCGCAGTGAAGTAGGAGAGAGCGTCTCGAGTTCGCGGGTTGCCCCGCTAGCTCGATCGCGGACTGGCTCCGCTCCTCGCAGAGCCGGCGCAACATGGTATTCCACCGTGGTAGTAGTCCACCAAGTTGTGCCGTGGATTACAGGAATCAGAGCGAGAGCCAGCCACACGAGAGTGTAGCCAGCTCCGCTACCAAGTCGAAAACAAGCTGGTAAGCTTAGGTATGTATTACGCCTTAGGCGTTGCCATATCCCAGGCTTAGGCTCATAGCGCATGAGCAAGAGAGCGAGACGAAGCATGGGATCTGGAGTAAAGAGTAGGATGGGCATCGTCAATGGAAAAGGATGTTTTCCGATCTCAGATGCAAGTAGTGCGCCTCAGTGAGGCACAGTCACATATTTGGCCGGGCCCGGCTTGAGCCAGGCACGGCAGCGGTACATGCTCGATTTATACCTCGCCTTTAACCTTCTCCGTTTAAAGTTAGGTCGGGCATGTCTCCCCTACAGGCAGATTTGGGGGATAACCTAAAAATAATCAATTTTTTACAAAAAAACATTCAAGAATAGTAAAACCACCGTCCCCAGACTAATTGTTTTACTATGTGTGAGCTCTCCTGCTGCAGAGGGACAGACCAGACTTCAAGGTAGGGCAGCTGCCCTGGCCGCCAGGCCCAAGAGGCGCCGCGCGGTCCTCTCCGCGCCCCCGTGGCGTCCCTCGGTAGAACCCGGTTCGGGGACCTGCTGACCCGTGTCAATCCAGAACCGGGTCAGTCAGGCCTTGCAGGATCCTGCGAGATCCTGCACCCAGACCTGGGTCAGCGCGTGGGATCCTGCAGGATCCTGCACCCAAACCCGGGTCAATGCGACCCCGGCCCTGCAAGATCCTGCAAGATCGGGCGCTCTGGGGAGGCTCTCCCCCGCACTGTCTCGCCGGGCCTCCTGTGGCAGCCCCCCAGAATAGACACCACCAGCCACGTAGGGGAATGGGGAGGGGGAGAAGGAGGAGGAGGAGGAGGAGGAGGAGGAGGAGGAGGAGGGTGGAAGGAGGAGAGGAGGAGGATGGAAGAAGGAGGAGGAGGAGGAGGAGGAGGAGGAGGAGTACGAGGAGGAGGAGGAGGAGACTCTCCTCGCTCTTCCAACCTCCTCTTCCTCCCCTTCGAGAGAGGGGTGGTGGTGGTGTGGTAGTGCGGCGTGTGAAAGCTAAGCCCCGTATGAAAGGACCATCGGGCTCTCGACCCTCGGACCCTAGGACCCTCAGAGCCTCCTCCTCCTCCTCCTCCTCCTCCTCCTCCTCCTCCTCCCTCCTACCCCTCCCCCTCCTCCTCCCCATTCCCCTCCTCCTCCTCCTCCTCCTTCTCCTTTTCTTGTTTAGTCTGCTTCTTCTGACTATGATTATTAATACTATTATTATTGATGTTATTATTATTACTATTATTATTATGATTATTATTATGATTATTATTATTACGATTCTTCTTATTATTACTATTATTAGTATTATTACTACGATTATTAGCATGATTAGTATTCTCATTGTTATTATTATGTTTATTAATAATACTCTGCTTCGTCGTATTGTTCTTGTTATTATTATCCTTCCTCCTCCTCCTCCTCCTCCTCCTCCTCCCCCTCCTCATCCTCCTCCTCCTCCTCCTCCTCCTCCTCCTCCTCCTCCTCCTCCTCCTCCTCCCCCTACCCCTACAATCGGCGGCGAGCGGGGGTGGGGGAAGTGAGGAGGAGGCCTTCGCAGAAGGCGTCGGGACTTCTCAGAAGCCCTCGCGCGTGCTGAGACGTTGCTGTTTGTCTCCGGGGAAGGCTCAGCACACTGCTCAGAAGGCCGGGGGACGTCGGAGCCTTCTGAGACGGCCTTCTCCTTCTCACTTCCCCCCCTCGGTCGCCGCCGACTCCTGTGCTGGCAACATGTAGATCCATATCCACTGCATCCTGGAATTCTGGGTTCCCTGCTGCAGACAACCGAGACGCGGTGGATAAGGATAAAAATCTGACCCCCAGAGGTACGATTTCTGCTCAATCCACTGCGCCTCGGCCTTCTGGAGCCCCTTCCCAGAAAGTCCAAGGCGCAATGAAAACAGATATTTGCCCGCAAGGGTGCGTGTTGTCGCCAGGCGGCTGATCCGTCGCTGCTTCACCCGGCCCTCCTCCTCCTCCTCCTGCTCCTGGTTCCTGTCGGCTAGTGCGTTCGGTGAACGCAGCCCTCCCTACTGCTCCTCCTCCCCCTCCTCCTCCTCCTCCTCCTCATCCTCCTCCTCAACCTCCTCCTCCTCATCGCCCTCCTCCGATTCCCGTGCACACGAAGGCCGCGGATCTCTCGACCACTTCTCCGTTTGGGCCAGCTTCTCGTCCCGAGTCGTTCCCTGATGGTGCCCAAGGTCTAGACAACGACTCCCGGAGCCGCACGTGGCAACAAACCTTCGCCTGTCTTCCCTGAGATCCGATCGGGGTTGCCAAAGGTGCCCCTGGCCCAAGGTGCCGCCAGCTTTCCGCTCCAATTTGGAGCCCCTGGGGCCCTCTGGGCCTTGTGATGGGGCTCTGGAGGCCGTGGGGCCCTCCTTTGGTCTCCTGGGTGCACCTTGAGCCAGGGGCCAGAGGCACATCTAGCAGCATCCGATCCGAAGGCACGAAAATTGCTGAGAAACTCGACTGGAACCCTGGTCCCCATTTGCTCACGGCAATGTCTTAAGGCCGGACCGATCCGCGAGTACCCCTGGGCCCGAAGCGCGAGGCATAGCGGCCTGCAGTGAAAAAAAGTGCAGCGCCAGGATTGGATAGCTGCTCGGCTCCAAGGCGTCGGAGGTCGGGGTCTTGCCAGAGGATAGAAGAAGAAAAACAACATACATAGACATTAACTGTTGGCGCTCCGCGCGGATTTCTTGGCTCCGCGCCGAACTCCGCTTCCTGGCGCGCGGAGCGCGCCGGAGGCGGCGCCAGAGGCGCCGCGGGGGGGGGCCCAGCGCAGATCCAAGAAATCCGCGCGGAGTGTCAAATGTTTATGTTCATGTCGTTC